CCTACACTCTTCCTTCCTCCACCCTCCTTGCACACAGTCTCCAATATCTATATTTTCAATGTTTTTATGTCCTCCACTCTTTCAGTCTGTACGAGAGATGACCTGCTAACTTCAGCTGGAGGTCCTGGGAGAAATATGGCTGCCAGCTGAGTAAATGATGTCAGTCAGCTACAGCAGATGCTCCTTGACTTGTGATGAAGCTACATACCCAATAAACCCATCGTGAGTGAAAATAATGTAAGTAAAAAACACATCTAATATACCAAACACCATAGCATAGCATAGCCTAGCTCAAAAATGCTTGAACTCTTTCATTAGCCTACAATTGGACAAAAATCATATAACGCAAAGTGTATTATATGGTAGAGCTCACATAATTCATTGAATATTTTAGTGAAGGTGAAAAATGGGCCAGCCTGTGGCATAGTGGTTAAGACAGTGGGATTCCACATGGTTGACGGTGCGGTTCAAGTCCTGTACCCACTGGCTTGAAAAACATGTTGGCAGCGTGTGCAGAAACAATACCATACAGATGTTTAGATGGGATTTTTGACAATACACAGAGAAAGTACACACACTGTTGCCACTTCCCTGATGTTCTTTGTTGGGACAGCCTCCCAGTTAGAAGAAAAGACAAGAAAACTCCAGAAAAAGAAGACAGATAAAATCCTCTAGGTGCTAAAAGCTTTGTCCTTCTCTACTACAGGACAAACAAGTGTTTTAAGGAGAATATGCACAGGACACTGCAGTGGTCTGTGATGGCTCTAATAACAAACTGTGGAAGACTGCCTATTAGGCTTGCATGTGAACAATGAACTGTCCATTTTGTTCCCTTATCCTAACATGGCTGTCTGCTTCTGTAAACCTGCTTGCTCTTCACATGAGAAAATAGCTGTGCTAGCCATGCAGAAAACCATATCTGGGACAACATCCTATACCTGTTACTATCTTTGCTAACTAGCTTAAAACCCTTTTGTTTAACAATGTAACTACTTGCATGGAAACCCTACTCCCCTCAGAAATAATTAACCTGCTTGATTCAACTTCTGAAGCTGCTTGCATAGAAACTCCTGGTAACTGACCCCCTATACAAAGACTACTCAAACTTTGGTCAGGACTACAGTTGTGACTTTTGGGCCTACCCCTAAGTGGAGGAGTCCAACCCAGCGGGGCTCCAGGACCCGTCCGAGCCCCTTGACCTTTGAGCATCGCTTTCAGTCGGTTCAGTGAGTTGGCAAGGCCGCTACTGTACACCCCCTGACCTTGGAACAAGCTTGAGTCAATTAGCATGTTGGCAAGGCCGCTTGCTACTTGCTCTGGGACTATGGTAGCCGACATATTACTATAAAAGAATTACATAGTTTTCTCATACATATTTGTAGTAAGATTCCCCCAAAATTCCCCGACTGCTCCCCTTTACCCTGACCACTTACTGTTAATTATAGCGCTTCATTGGGTACAATAAAGGGTGTGCTGAAGTTCTACTTGATCTTTAGAAGGCCTTTCAAAACACATTTATATAAACTTAAAAATTACCTCTTAGGCAGAAACTGACCCAGGACACCCCCACCTCACTGTAGCTAATGTTCTGACAAAGTACATGACAGTGGTACCACAAGCACAATAGAATGCCTAGTTATGCCACAAAGTTTTTCATTAACTCATTAGTCACTTCACCACCAGTTGAAAAGGTTGTATCCCTGCCCTCATCAAGTGAACACTAACTTCACCCTTTTAGGATAGGTAGATATATTAGGATTCCTTTAAATAAATTATTGATCTCTATAGAATTATTTAAATATCATTTTTTATTGAGATCCATAAGAACTAATATCTGTACTTGAGATTTTCTTTTTTAGAATCACAACCAGTAACTGCAAGATGGCTGCCGCCAAGTACTGGCTGATACTTAACTCTGCCTGCTGGAGCTGTTCTCCGAAACCACACTCCCAGAACAGAAGTTCCCAAAAGCTCGCTTACGTCAATCAAACAATTGTTGAATTGTATCGATGATTAATAGATCCTCCCTTAATCAAAACCTGAATAGAATCTTTGATCTCAATTGTTAAAACTTTTATGAATTGATAATTAGAACATGTAGCCCCTCTCCCATTTACTTGCATGTATCCCATTTTCAATAAAAAGGCATGGTGATTCCTAGCAGTTGTCACTCCTCAGAGAGTGATCTTAGAGGAGTGTCCGACTCAGGACATGCATGAAAAAGCACGAGGCCTTTGTCTTCCTTTC